AATAAAATAAAAAGGATTTGAGGCAACTACTTCAAATGGTGCCTACATACTAGGGCTGCTCTGACAATAATGTCTCTTATTTTGTTTTGTTGGCCCATGACGTCAGAGGCAGGTGTTGGTCATATGGCAGTAAAGGTTGAACCTTCCTGCCAATACTCCTTTGCATTCTGCTGCTGTGGGACAGATGGAAGCAAAAGGGGGATCTGACAAACTGACATCTGACAGGGAAGTGCAGGTGAAGCAATGATGCGTTATTGAAAAAATGGCAATCATTGCAATTCACTGATGATTACTGATCATCTATGGAAAACAAAGAGTGGATTTGAGCGCAGTGAGGTGGTGGAGTGGCATGTTTCAATAGTGGAGAAGGCAACATAAAGGACAAGCCACATTCTGGATGGCCATGCTCAGGTGCCACATCATAAAATGAAGAGTGTCTTGATCAGGTCTTCCATGTGAATATGGAGATTTCTACCAGGCAACTGTCTGTGGAGTTAATAGTGGGTTCATTGCTCTCCTAGAGATGGTGGCAACACTGGAATACTGTAAGTTTGCATTAGTTAGATCCCATGACTAGATACATAGGAACAGAAAGAAAAGCATGTGCAAGTTTATCAACACCTATTGAACCATTATAAAGGCTGAAGGTGACATTTTCCTGGATCCCATCATTCCTGGATCTCATCATCATCGGTGGCAAGACAAGATGTCACGACTACAAGCTAGAGTCAAAACAGCAGTCCATGGAGCGGAGGCATGTGAATTCCATAGTGAAGAAAAATTTCAAGATTAGGATTTGGTGCTTTTTGACTTCCATGTTTGGGCTGATGAAAGATGCATGAGCAGCATTTTCCTAGCAACATCATCACAGCAGCTACAAAACAGTGGGTCACTTCTACTGGGCAAGTATCCCAAGCATTTGTTCATCACTAGCAAAAATGCATAGCAAATAGTGGTGCCTATGTTGAAAAATCATATTTTGAAGCTGAGAATTTACTCTGTCAAATAGTATTACTGTGCTTTTCGTATCATTTGGAGTTTCCATGGAGATAAATCAGAAGCATTACTTTCAGAATTATCTACATATTTTGGACCTCTGAGGTTGAGCCTGCAAGCATGAAAGCTAAGGCCCAAATTTTCAGTGAGCTACACACATAGATGATGACATTATTAAATTCAGAGTCTTACTTGACAGAAAGTAATACATAGTAGGTTTCAGAAAGCTATTTCCTTGGTAATTCCACCCAGAACAAGATCATGAAGAATTAACAGCTCTTCCAAACTCTAAGTACTGGGAGTTGACCACAGAGGGAAATTGAATTATCCTGCTCGGAAGAATTGCATGGTCATGTGTTCCCATCTCATTCCCATCCATGGATATTTTGATTCCTGAGCTGGCACTGGCAAGTGCCCAATTCATTTAAAGCCCCTAAGGACTGTTGATCAAGCCTGTTTACTGTCAGTCCCTACTGACACACCCTTAGACAGATAGGCAAACCTTACTTGTTAACACTTGCAAATTCAGGTCGGATCTTCTGCTTCAGCCAACATGGCTGTGAGCTGGTGGATCGCTTGTGTACAAGCTGGGATCACTGTGTCAAGACATACTGAAGGTATTAAACAGAGTGTATGTTTTCTCATCTACCCTTTTCTCCCCTCTAGCATTCCTGTGTGTGAGAGCTCTCATCTCCCTTTCTATTGCCGCAGAGGATGAGTGTATGGAAACTGTTGATCACAGCCTGAACCTCTGATTGACCACCTGAGACAAGCAATGAGTCAGCCATGGGAGCACAGGTGAAGGCAATTCACCTGTGCTACCAGATGGGATGGAGCCTGGCTCCACCTCTCCTAGACACCATTTAAGGGCTGTCTTATGAAGTCATGGAGTGGCCTTGGGCTTTAATCCTAAGTGAAAAGTGTGGAAATCTTTAAAGCACTCAAGCTAAGCTTATTTTAGCATCAGATCTCAGATCTAGCCCAGTATTTAAATTCTAAATTCATAATAATCATTAACGTTCATATTATCTCTCCGTAACATCTTCCTCTATTGCTCAAGATCATGAGTTTAATAGTTCAAGTCAGCAGCGAAAACGCTTTAAGCAAATGACATAGGTGACTGCTGATGTATTTTGCCTTTCAACTGAACAGATGTAAAACTTCAGCTATTTTAGGAAAACTTATTGTTTAGCTTTGTCATTTCAGCAGTATTATTTTAATATCCTTGTACAATTACATCACCCACTTAGTGGATGAAGAGAAGGCAGCGTGTGCAGTCTTTCTGAATTTAGTAAGGCCTTCAAAGTATCCTTCTGGATGAATTGTATAATTGAGTTGAATGGATCCATGCTATACTGGCTGTGTGAACTGCAAAGCTGAGATGATTGTAGTAAATGGAGCTTCATTAGACTGAAGACCAGCCGCAAGTGGAGTTCCACAGGGCTCAGTTCTAGGGCCAGTCTTGTTAGATATTCGTATCAATTATCTGTATGCAGAGTTCAATGCATCCTTAACAAGTTCACTGAAGGTGAGTGGAAAAGGTGAGTGAAGCTGGAGTGGGAGATCTTGTTAACTGTCTCAAGGGATGAAAGACCTTGCAGAAGGATCTAGATAGGTTGAGAGTACTGGACAATCTTCAGTGGCAAAAAAATTCAATAGGGGTAAATATGAGGTTCTGCATCTAGGATAGAGTAGTTCCAGATAGGAACAGACTGGGAGATGAGTGGCTGGTGAGAGGAAAGGGATCTGGAGGTTCTGTTTACAGCATGAGTTAGCAGAGAGCCCTGGCAGCCAAAAGGGCAAATTGCATTTTAGGATGCATTAAATATTGCATAGTCAGCCAGTCAAAATAAGTGTTTCTCCCACATTATTTAGCATTGGTGTGGACTCACCGTAAATACTGTGTGTGTTTCTGGGCATCATAATATAGAAAAGATGTTGAGATATGTGAATATACCTGAGAATATTTGTAGGTCCATTCCAGTCTAACTGTTTAAAAAAGTATCTTTTAAGCCATCTGTAGTGTGTTTAAAGAGTTTCAAAATATGCAGAAAAGTCTTTGTTTCACCAGTTCTACTTTAAAACTTCAAAGTAGAATGTGAAGCTTTGCTGATTAGTAAGAAATGTCTGATTCTGCTGTTACACAAAAGAGTAAGGTTGGACTTGCAACTATTGTGCAGTATTTGAAAATCAGGGTGTAGTCCGCTTAGAAGTATGAAGTAAATTGACCATGAAGCAATAAAAAAAAAAAAAGGCTAAGACATGATTGATTATGATTAATAATAATATGTTATGGTCATAGGATATACTCAGAATGGGTCTGGAATTAGAATCTGCTAATGAATTTGCTGCTGTTCTATTTGGCCAACTCATATTTTAATGAAACAAAATTTATTAACAGCTAGCTTCTTTAAAAGGTGATGAGTGTATTGTATAAGTAATTCCAAGGCAGGACATCAATCTCTTAAATATTATCACGTTTTTGCTGCTTTCTCTAGAAGTTCCTTGAGAAAAAGAAAAGCTAACTTTTATGTTTGGGGAATGGTGGAAGAAGAAGGAAGGAAAGAAAGATTAGCAAAGTAACTACTTCTTTATGAGGTATAAACCTTAGCTTTGAATGACCATTTTTTCTACAATTTTCTACAATTACAATTTAGAACATCTGTATCTGATCCATGGTCCACCTGCAATCCAAGAAAAATAATAATGCAGCCCCACAAGATCATAAACTTTCAACACTGTTATGTGGTTTTCACCAGTGTTTTTTGTGAGTTGATAGTGTGCAGTTTGAGCACAGTTTGAGCACAGGCTGTGTGAACCATAGTGGAATGCTATGGAGCCTGCCTCACACTCAGTCCATTTGAAAACTGCGTGTTACACATCACGTGCACTTTTGTCACTTGATGAATAAGACATATTGATAATAATTTTTCATCCTGAAGGTAGCAAGTGGTGGAAAAAATATTTTATGGTTTGCAAAATGAAATCAAGACATTTAAAGAATCAAAAGGAAAATTTGTGCCAGAACATGAAGATGATAAATGGCTCATAGATTTTGCATTTTTGGAGGATTTGACCATTTAGCTAATTGAGTTAAATGTGTTTTCAAGGTGGCAACCAATGTATCTGTGCTGTGTTTCAAACCATAAAGCATTTGAAAACAAAACAAACTATAGCAAGCTATGGCAAATAATATTATGCATTTTGATATGTTGTCTAAATGTAGCCCTGTGAACAACGGAAAATATGTAGCCTTGTTTTCCATTCTAATAAATAAGTTTCAAGATTTCTGAAAAAATCTTCAATGTTTTGGTATATCTGTGACTCCATTCCTGATTGATATAAGTACATTACCTGCAAATTTTCAAATGGAATGTATAGAGTTTCAATCAGACTTTCAACTAAAAACTTGATCATGTTTCTTTACTAGATTTTTATAATACCTGTCTTATCAGAGAAAAATATCCCTTGCTTCACAATCACACCTTATTGTCACTTTTCGGTAGTACATACGTTTGTGACTTACTATTTCCAAGCATGAAGAATAGTATGTGTAAAATTAGATTAAAAAGTCTCTGGACACTTTGACAGCTTACTAAAAATTGTAACCACTTGCATTAAATGACTTATTTATGCATTAGTTTCACGAAAACAAGGTAAAATATGCCACTAATTTTGTTTTTGTTGCTAACTTTATATGTTTTAATAAAAATAAAAAGTATTGTTACTTATATGTTAAATATGCCATGCATTTTATATGTGGCACCAGTTCTTCACTCAGTGCAGCCCAGGCAAGTCAAAACACTAGATGCTCACGTGTATGGGAATTGCTGAATCACAGCCTGAACCTCTGATTGATCACCTGAGGCAAGCAATGTGTCAGCCATGGGAGCACAGGTGAAGGCAATTCTCCTGTGCTGCTGGAAGGGGGTGGAGCCTGGCTCCATCTTTCCTAGACCTATTTAAGAGCTGGCTGCCAGTGAGGAGGAAACTCTTCTGGAGATCTGCTCTGCTGGAGTTTTGGAAGTGAGCCTAGGATAGGGGTAAGGGTCCGTTCTGTTTTTGCTATTGTTACCTGCTTTGCCTAACTCTCTTGTTTACTTCACAATTATAACATCTTAATATTCATTTATTGTACGCTTATGGTTTGGAAGATTGCATTACAATGATAGGATGCTTGGGACTCTTAGCTTCACCAGCAGAGGATCAGACAAGATTTTAGATAAAAATTCATTGACATTATGGTTGTCAAACACTAAAACAGTTTTCTAGTGCTGTGGTTGGTGCCCTGTTCCTGTCAGCATTCAGAAGACCTTTGTACAATGCACTCAGCAAAGTGCTTTAGTTTTTGGTTAGCCCTGAAAAGGTAGTTGGGCTCAACCTTTGCAGTTCTCTTCCAACTAAACGTTTATATCTTATTCCAAATCAAATCTTTACTGATATCTATTCAATTGCATTGTAATCTTTGTGATTATGAGTGTACTGGCTGGTATGAATTAGGAATTTTGCAACTGGAGTTGAAGATACATATGGAGGCCTACAATATAAACGGCAATATATTGAATACTTCTGTAGTATAATGATTTTATGCTTGGCTAGTCTGTAGGAGAACTTAATACATGAAAGGAACAGAGCTGCTAATGTTATTATAGCAGGGTTTTTAATGTGAGGAAGATTAAACAGGGAGAACTTTAAATGAAACAACTGTTGGAAAAAGCAGACAAGATTTTGAGCCAAGTCTTTATTCTGGATCTTCAGCCATAGGTACGGGCTTCTTTGCTGTATGCTGAATGAAGAAAGTACAATATTAATATGTAACACAAAACTTGCAAGCAAACAAGGAATTGTAGAACAGCAGTAACAACTACTGACTTTTTGTGTATCCCTATTAATTGTTCTTGGTTGTTAATATAATATGTTGATAGTTTGCAGAGTGAGATCTACTGTCTTCTTCAGTAAAGTAGATGAAACCGGAGTAGCCATCTCTGCTCTAAAGTGTTTGTGTGAATACATATATTTATTGGTGACTATTTTATACCTCGTGTGTCCACAGCATGAGTTATTATACTGGATAAGAGTGAAGATGACATAAGATACGAAGATGACAAATATTGCTAGATGTATATGAATGTTTACATTGAGTTAATGCTTTAATCTTTTTTATCTCAATCTAAACTGTAGTTGCCCTGCTAAGGTGGATCAGAATAGCACATTAGCTTGAAACAGTAAAGTGGGAAGTGACAACTGAGTGGAGCCCACAGAAGGAATATATTTATGAAGTGTGGGATTTTTTTCTATAATTAAGTTGATATTTGAACAACAACCCCCAAGACTATCTAGGCTCTGTAGAGTGGCCGTGGGACATTTGGTCAGAAGATTCGCAGTGAAGAGCTGTAACATACACCCAAATGTCAGTATGCAGCACTGTACCTTAGAACAGTGCTAGAGAAGTTCTCTGGAGATAGATCAAGTTTTGGAGAGGAAGAACACTTTTGCAAAGTTTAGCTTGTTATGTGGAGAAGGATTAATAGCTGCATTTCAGTTAGATAAAGCAACGTGCACTTCTGTAACTCCCAAGAGAAAAATCCAGAACTAGTACAGTGCCATCACCTCCCCTCATCTCAGCATGGCAATATTTTCAGGAAAGTTAACTATAGATCTTAATATTCCTTAGGAGAAAGATGAGATCATTGCTTGGACACTGTCTCCTCAGGTAAATGAGGATACATTGATAAAAACTGAACAGTAAAAGACTGTTACTTTAGGTGGCCTATTTTAAAAATAAGATTTTGAAAGTTCATTTAACAAGCAGAGAAATCTTGCATATTATTTCCACTTATGTTCTGAAACAGTGACATTTCGGAATGGAGAAATGTTTAGTCTAGATATATTTCTGGCAATCATTTTCCTTAACGAAAGAATAAATTTGCAGTTAACCTTGGATTGTAAAAGAGTATTATTAAAAACTTTCTGAAACCCAAGAATTACCAGAGTATTTCGTATACTAGCTACTTGCTAATAAATAATATGAAACCTGTGTTCAAATGAAATACACGCACTGGCAGTGAAAGCTTTCTAATTTTTTTCAGGGACTTCCTGTTCTCTGATGTAATACAGGCTTCGAACCAATTTTGACTTTATTGTAACTCCTGATCAAAGTACTTATGTTCCTTTATAAAAATATTTAGATCTAAATCCAATTTATATGCATGGTGAGGAACTGAGTAAAGAGCAACAATTAATCCCATTAAAGTTTTACATCATTCCATTTAGGTTTTACCACTATCTTACAGGTGACGAATACAAGGACGAAAGTATTGTCTTTTACACAGGGGAAGAAGAGCAGGCATTGGAGGCCTTAAGAGGCTGTGAGATAGCTATATTAACAAAAATGGTAGCTGTGTAGTGGAGAATAGGAAGAGGTGAAGAAAGACCCTGAAGTATGTTAATCTGAAATGCCAAAGCTGACTCAGTACCTCACGGTATTATACATCAAAAGGTTTAACGGAGCTGACTGGACTGAAACGTGACTTTATAGAAACCTAAGCTTGCTTTAAGTTTGGTGATTAGGATGAACAAGATAACGTAAAAAAATTTTAGTGAGAGAAACTCTAAAATACTTTTTGATGATAAAATGATGGAACTAAATTGTAGATTTCAAAGTTGTAACGCTACTCATCTACATCTTCCTTCCTCTTTAATTTCAGTATTTGAGAACTTCGCTGCTGTATCTCAGTGAAATTATAATGTGTTTCTGACAAGTTTAGGTAAATGTTTTGTTCAGAATATAGGTGACTTTCAATGTTATCTAATCTGGGTGGCCAGTTGCAGGATGAAAAGTAAAACATGCTTACAGACTTGTGAACTGATTGAGGTTAGAGACTCTGGAGGTCATATTGTCCAACCAACATGCTCAAGCAGGGCCCTGAAGCCCATCTTATGAACGTTAATAACAGTAGTATGAATTTGATTATATTAGGCAATGGATACATAATTTCAGAATTTAACATAAGTTAATGCTAATGAGTTTGCTTCTCACTTTTTTTCCCAAGAAAAATAATTTTCCACTGACTCCAGACTTCAAGAATTAAAATAACTTTGTTTTGTCTCTTTCTGTTGTCTCCTCACAAACGCAGGTGCCTTCAATGTCATATAAAATATTTGTGTTTGTTTAAAAAAAAAAAAAGCATAAGAAAATATTTCTAGACATTAGGGATTGTAAATTTATAGTTTAATGAAGTTGGAAGGAGTAATGGAATTAATATTGAGATATATTGGTATTCTCTTTTGTGAAATTTCTACTGTACACTGAGATACAAGAAATTAAAACTTAACCCTTGAAAATTTAAGGTATTCTCATTTGAGTTATTAATATGCATCTAGTTTGGAGAAGAATTTGGTTGGAAGAAGCATGAGCATACAGAAACTCTTCCATTTCGACATCAGCTGTAAATAAAGCAGAGCTTTAATTTGGAAGGAACTGCTTAATTTGTCTTGGGCTCCTCTCTTTGTCATTGTTTCTTATGTTATGCTTGCATTGAAAACACACTGAAAATGAGTAAATTGCAAGTATACTGCAATGAGCTGTGGGCAGTGACAAGAGATTTTTTGGTTCTGCTGCAGTATAAAGAAAGAAATGAGTGGTTAGAAAAATGAACTTTCACAGGTGATGGAAGAATGAATGCAGAGAATGAATAAGGTAACCATAAAATTGTGTAAAGACCTTCTGTGCTGTAAAGTTTCCAAGTCCAGACTGCTTCTCTAGCAAGCCCATAAACTTTTTTTTTGGTAGCTCATTAGCCTCTAACTCAAACTAATAAAACAAGAAAATTATTAATTATTAGATACTGGGCTGCCTATCCTGTAATACTTACAGTTTTTCAAGCCTCCATTACTCTGCAAGGCACTTCAATTTAGATCTGGAGGACATTCAGCTTTTGTAAACATTACTAAGTATTTTAAATCACTTTTAAAATGCTTTTTTTAAAAATAAAGGATGTATGCTCTTTTTGGCATGTTTTTGTGTTTTAGTGATGGGAAACTGGAATACTGTTTGTGGTGCACATGTGGAGATGCAGTCTTTGTATGTCTAATTTGAACAGGGTTGAACTAAAACTTTGCTTTCTCAGAGTAGCTGAAGATGTCTGTTCTCTTCTGGAAATATTTCCCTTAAGTTCCATTTACTGATTTTGCTGAAATAGTGAAACATGAAATTGAAATATCATTCACATTATCATTTAAAAAAAAAAAAAAAAAAAAAAAAAAAAAAAAAAAAAAAAAAACACATTTTGTTGAAACAAAAATGCCTTTTCTACTTTTAAAATGGCAGTAATTGATATGACATCCCACAGGTTTTTTTTCAATAAGCTTTCTACTGTTTGCTTGAAAAGGATATGGAACATAAGTGATGCTTACAATTTTTCCAGCTTTTTTTCATCACATCTGTAGGACAGAGAACTTGAAACCTTGTCTAAGATGGAAGCATCAACTTAAGTGATCAGTTCTCTGCTCTCCTTGTCCTTTCCTCAGGTTTCCATGGTGCTAACTAGAGAAAATAAAATTAAAAACAAATAAATTAATGTGTATTTTTTTATTATTACCTCAATCCTGACAGACATTGGCCTTGATGTTTTATAGTTTCATAAACCTAAGAGATTTTATGTTAGTGTTTCTGGTAATTTTACAGCAGTAACATTTGCAATAGTTGTACACGACTACTTCAGACAAAAACAAACCTCGACTCCTTTTTTTCTTTCTATTTAGAGTATGACTCAGTCATAAGTACTGAGCTGGAAAAGGAAATTGTTTTTTCTTACTGCAATTTTTTTTATTTCAATCAAGCATAAGCCACAATTAAGCTGTATTTTGAAGAATGCATCAATTCAGGGGTAATGGTAGAGCTTCTGAGAATATAGAATTCCTCAATCTCTAGTGCCGTACTGAAATTTCTTTCATCTTTTAGATTTCTTACATATAATTGCAGATTAGGTAACAACTATAGTAAGTAGCTTGAAGTTGCATAGGAGGAACAGAATTAAATGTGTCAGACTTGGCTTCTTATTTCTACGCAGGTAATTAGAATTAGGTTTCATTTCTCAAATTAATAGGTGAAATTTGGACTTTCTATTCATAGTGGTTGAACAACCTTTCATTCTGGACTTTCATGGGAACCCAAGCACTTCCTCATTTGCCTTTTTTGTGAAGAAATGAATTCCTGGATTTGGATTTAAACAAAATGAATCTATTCCCTGTTTACATGTGACAGCTGTGATTTCTCCTTTACTTGTACTGATCTTACGCTTTGCAGTTGTTTTGCTGTGTATGTACTGATAGGCTATTGGTACAACCACCACACATTTCAAGCATCTAACTGAAATCAGTTTCTAAATGATTTGCTGTCTACTTCTCTAATGTCCGTAAGAATCAAAAGCTTAAGCAGACCTTGATTAACTGAATATATCTCCAAAGTCAGAATGACTAATGTCACAGCTAAGTTTGAATTTCTTTATATTATCTTGCTAAAAAACAGACTGGATTCACAACCTTCTAATTGTCTATTGACAATATAGCTATATACGTTGCTGGCAGTTTAGGTAGTGTATGTAGGCTTGTGACATGGAAAGCATGATAACTAGTTGTGGTTTTAATAATGAGATATCTAGTCTCACTTTTAGATAAGCGAGAGCCTGAATGATGAATGAATTTGATGGTGACAGACAAAATTCAGTGATTTTTTTTTTTTTTTAATGGGGACACAACTTACATATAATAAAAAAAACATGTTTATACACGTACTTATATATACCTTTACATGATGTGAAAACTAAGTTTTTGTATGTGAAATCCCAGAATCAAAACAAAAATGAGAAAGGAAAAAGACCCTAAAATATACTTGTTTTTTTCAGTTTTCCATAAGCTTTATATATTGTAGCATAAATTTATATGGCAACAATTCAGGATCAGTTTAACTGCTGACCATGTTGCGAGGGAGCCAGAAAAATTTATAGCACTTAACCAGTTTGTCATTTTTTTGCAAAGCATAAACATTTGAAGGTACTGAGATTCTTGGAGTCTAATATAAGTCTTAACAAAAATAAACTGTTTCCTGTTATTTTAATAAATCTTTGCCCCATAAATAACACAGAAACTGTATGGTATTAATTACAGGTTAAAAAGTATAATGTCTGCTTTTCAAAATCCGGAAGTTATCAGTTTTACCATAGCTTCAGTATACTGAAATCCATATCTGTATTTTAACTGCTCATGTCTTCTAAAAGTAACACGATGGTGAATGTTTGGCGCTACTAATGTACATCTTGAGCTAAGGTTCAGCAGGTTTCCCATTCAGAAATGGAAAAGATTTTCAGTAATAATAGAGCTCTTAGTTCTAGCTGTGTAAAGGCAGTTAACTTCTGGGAGGTTCCACACAATTTTATGTTGAATGTAATTTTTCTGAAGCCCATCTAAGAGTAAAAATTAATTTGAAGATCTCCTAAAAGTCATGAGCTCATAGTCTGAGGACAGATCAGACAACAAAAGATGTGATGAAAATAATTACTAAGGTGTTTCTCTGCTGATAAACAGATAGAGAAATGGCAGTAGTTGGCTTAAGTCAAATATGTTATCTCATAGATATGCAGAACTCTCTCTACAGAAGCAATTTCACATGTTAAAGGCTTTCTTCAAAGATGTTTAAATTGCAAAATTCATTGTTCTTGGGGTTTCTTTGACATCCTTGCAGTTGTCCTGTGCCTACGTTTAGTAATTTTTATTAGTTCAGGTAAAGAAGAGGTAATGCATGGATTCTCCAATAAGTTTCAGTGAAGCAGATTTATATTTTGAAGATCCCAAATGCATAGTGAACTGCTTTCATAGTATGCAGTGCCACAGACAGGCTGAATGAGCAAGCTTTCTATCTCTGTCATGCAGGCAATAGGATGACTGGCCACTTTGAGGTCCTTGAATTATGTAGGAAATGCTAAAAGAAAGGAAACCCTTATGCACGGCACTGTAATGTAAATGTAAAATTCCTTTGGGTGTTTATCATTCAGGCAATCAGAATTGGTTAGGAGTCCACAAACTGAGAGATGAAAACAACTGCTATCTTGCCCTAGAGCTCCATCCAGCCATAAAGCCATGTTGCACCTCCTGCCCTTCTTTCAAGATATGAGGTGGAGCTACAGGGAAGCAGCTTCCAGCTGTGCGAGACAGGGAGACGCGGCTCCTTGGTGCGTGGTATTCAGATCAAGGCCTAGATTATGCATCCTGTGGAATCTACTGATGAGATAGATGGGTGGGAGAGGATTGGCAGGAAAACAAATGTATATTACAAAAATATTTTGGATGCAGTTGCATGCATTAAATCTTAAGGTTGTTAGTCACAGCTGACTCTTGACTCCTTTCCAGGTTTATTGAACCAGTTTGCCAGAGAAAAGCTCTGCAAATATAACTTCTGCATTAACATTGAAGGCACTTCCAAATTTCAATAGGGTAAACTGTTCACTAGGTAAGTAATCTTACAATTGCTAGAACTGGTTGTAAGACACTATTGGCTGATAGACCATGGCTGGAATTTGTGGATTAGTTCTCCTCAGTGCCATCCTATCAATGTCAGTTAGATTCTTCAGTTACGAGGAAGTTTTTCATCTTCGTTTTCTAGTGCCAGAAAATAAAGATAAGCCTCCATGCAAATCTATTTCATACCTTTTTATTTATCATCATTCTTCTCTGTATCTTACTATTTGTATTGTCTTGTAAAGGTAATTATGGTTCATAAATCCTTTCAGCAACTGAAAGTCAAATAACCATAAAAGCATACATTTGTCACTGTGCTTACCGTGCTTATAAAGTGGAAAATAATGGCAGTAGGGTGTTTGAAAAAAAGGAATTTAGAATTTATGTGACAGTTATGGTTTTATAGAGGCCAGCATTATTTTCCTTGTCTCAGACGCTTCTGAGAAGCATTTTTCCATGTAAATTAACTAAGACAGTACTTTATTTTGCCTGTAAATATATTCTTTCTCCATGGAATAGTTCCTAATGTCAAATAGCTGTAATACAGAATGCAGTGATAAGGGTTTAACATTTGCCTAAGTGCCATTGTAAATCTAGTTAGCTAGAGTTCTGGCCTTATGAAGTTTGCTTATGTGTAGTTTCACACTGTTATTCTTCTGGAAGTATGTAAAAGTGAGAATGATATAATTTGAGTAGTGAGAACAAATCTCCAAAAAATACTCAGCTATTCCCAAAGAAATTGTGGAGCCCTTTTTGCAGTACAGTGCTGTTGTTGCTCTTCTCAGCTCTCAAAATTATCACCTCTGAAAATACAGGAGAAATTGTTGCAATATTACAATAGTAAAGGCTAAATGTGCCAGGAATTGTACTCCATTTCTCATCATATGTAAGGATCAGTCTGGCATGCGTCATAGCCATAATATAGGAGGAAAGCTTTTTTAGGAAAAGAGAAACATCCAGTTCTATGAAATTGTAGATACTCTATATTGCTTCTTAAAATTGCTATTCTAGTATGCATGAGGTACAATGGAAACAGTTTTGATCTCCAAAAGAGACCAAAATCTGTTTGTTTGTTTGTTTTTTCCCCCAGTATCTTCTTTTTCCCGCAACACTTAACCAATTTTATTACTTCAGGTCTTTTCACTGACAAAAAGAAACGTGTAGACAGCTATGTTTAGGAGGTTTTTTTTTTGAGTGCTAATGTTTTAGAAGTTATTTGCACGAGCGCTTGCTGCTAATGCATAGCGAAAGAGAATGGGGACCTATCCACAAATGCACTTCCCAGCTGGATTTTGCTAGTTGATTTCCTCTGTGTAGGAAGAATAATTATAGCTTCCTGGTGTGCAGAACCCAGCAACAGTGGCTTTCAGATTTTTCTATGCTGAACGTAAAGTACCGGTGAGGTTACTCATAAAAGAGGCAGCAGGGATAATCTGTCTGTAGTCAAAGAAATTAGGAGAAGGAGATATGTGATTTTTTTTTTTTTTTTTTTTATATGCTTTTGAAAAGGACAATTTGAAGAATTATCTTTGTATGAAGCAAAAGATACAGTAAATAAATAACTTGGGGTATTTTGCTAAAGACTTTAATACCACCTTAATAGGGGAAGTATGTACATTCGTTGCATTGTGCTTATGTTTTGTGGGATGATATCTTGCTTTTGAAACTGCATTGTCTGTCTGGCATTCGTTATATAATGTGTTGTCAATCATAATACAGTTTTAGACAAGCCAAGTAGACATATGCTGCGCATTTAAAAAAAAGAAAAAAAAAAAAATTGAGGTTAAAATAAGCATCTTTATCTTTTTATTCTTTAATGTAAATCAGCTTGCCTATAGTCAGCTTCTAAATAGACATTTATTCAGGTATTAAGTTTGCTTTGATCATACACCTTTTTAGCTATCAGCTTTCTTAGGTAATTTAGATTTTTTAAAATACGTTAAATTTAATTATAAATCACTTTATATGATAAAACATAAAATATCATCTGACTGGTAAAGTGATAGTTGCAGATAACTATAATACTTCTCAAATGCAGATTGTGCACAGGAAGCCTGGGATAAAGGCAAATGGAGGGCTGGTCTTTTAAAAGAGAAAACAAGGAGCCACCAAATTATTACCCAGTCACACTCCTACTTTGATTCCCAGAGTGAATATAGTAGCAAATAATAGAACAATATATTTGTAAGCATGTGGACATTGGAAAGAACCATTATGTACTTGCCAGGAAACTTTAAGTACTCTCGTTTATTCACAGGACTGCTAAAGGACCTTCTACATAAAGAAGAAATAGTAGATGTCACTGAATACAACAGTTTTCCATGTTTCATATAACGTTGTATAACTGAGCTTGGGATGCAAGGAGTGAGAAATGGTAGTAATACAGAGTTGAATCCTCTTCAAATAGTTAGCCATCGAGAGACTGTTTCTCAGTGGTGTTAACAAAAGGTTTGTATTTGGAGTGGGTTTTAGCAAGGGTTTGATGTTTCAGTAATGATCTAAACAAGAGAAGAGACCTCATGTGTTAAACGATACCATCCAAAGCAGTTGGACTCAAATTAACACCTTTTGCAAATTGCTCCAAAAAAAAGTCAAACATGATTTTTTTTTCTGTTAGTAGGACAATTCCTCTTCTTTCGATTCCTCCAGTTTTCCTATCTTGAAATGTTGCTAGCAGCAAGTTTCTTGAAGTGTTTCTTTCACTTGTTGTTGCTTTTGTTGTGGTGTTTTTCCTTTGTTTCAAATTACTACTTTGGCTCAGTTTTACACCACTGCCATCACAAGAAGACATTTTTTAATTTATCATTTATTTACTAATTTTTTTCTTTTTTTTTTTTCCTGTTGGGGGAGGGAACAAAAACACAATCCAGTCTCTTCCATAACATTCAACACACAAATTCCTTGGCAGAATTGATGGGATTGGCTGATAGAGGTGCCTGAATATCAACTCTTTCAGCTTGTTTTGTGTGCAAGATTGGCATAGCCAGCTCTTCTGTCAAGACTGACAGCAGACAACTTCTATATAGGGAGTGTCTAAGTTGCTTGCTTCACTACCCTGTTAGCTATGCTGGAAACTATTAGTGGCTGAATCAGTCTCTTACTACAAAATGTTTTTCTAGCGTTTTAAGATGATATACAAAGCTTGTTATAAAATTCCTTAAATTTAAGTGTGTTTCCCTTTTGTGTTTTGTTTTAAGCTCAGATCATTTCATAGGAAGATGTTTCAAGCAAGCTAATGTTACTCATATTTTTTCTCTCTTTTTTTTTCTATTTCTTTCTCTAATTTTTTACCAAGCAAGCAGAGTAGTAGTTTACTCTGTTGATGAACTGATTAATGCAGTGGGCTACAATGATGTAGCCTTTACAAGGCATTTGCTTAAAGTCTGCCAAAAGAACCTCATGGATACTCTAGCATTCAAAGTGAAATATGGGGAGTGTGAAATGAAGCAGTCCCTTTCTCACCCATCTAAGCCTAGCTCTGGATCAGACCACAGATTTTTATCAGTGTTTGCTCTTAATTGTAATCTTGCTGTTTTCAGTCTTGTTTTTCCCTCTAAACTAGTAAATCAGATGTGAAAGCTAGAGTTACAACTTCATTTACCCTCAAATGTTTTCCTCGCTATCTTTTTTGCTTGCTGCTTCAAGTCTGTTTGTGGTAGAAAAGATAACAGATGTTTACTGTCTGATACTGTTTGTCCACATTAATCACTATTTGGGTTAAGAGCAGGGAATGAGATTTGACTGCTCATCAGGAGACCTATGTTAGGAACATTTTTTTTAATTTCACCATTGCTACTATGTGTGTTTGCAACTAGAGCTGAAGGCGTAAGAATTAACCCACCCCTTACTAGTGACTCAGTAATGTCTTGGACCGCTTCATGATGAGGGTATCATCAAAAAATTAGTGAGTGCTTTCATTCACTGTAGGTGCTGTGATGTGCATCTCAAACAGATCTTCTAAATGTCTGAGTTCCTCAGGGATTTGAGATGGCAGCAGAGAACTAACAATTTCTCACTGTAAGAATCACTTCTGTCAGCCTGATCATCGTGATTAGGAAAGCATCTATATCTGGAACTTGTTCCATATGAATAAGATATCCAGTTGCTGTGGCAGCATCTTTGGCTGACCCATAGGTCTCCCAGAACTACTCAGATCAAAGATGTCTTGTTGCTTGCCTATCTGATTTGAAACTTGACTAGCACATGAAGGGTTGACACTCTTTTCTGGATGTTCTTTGGATCGGGGGTATTGACTGTTTGTATGCAGGAAGGAGATCTGAGAATGAAGCATAGATATTTTCTGCAATTTTATTTAAAGAAAGCTTATCCAGTATGCACTGCTTAACACTTTAAGATTCATCTCAAGTGAAAAAATGAATTTATTTAGTCTGTCATATCCTCTGCTTCTTACAGATAATCTTCCTTGAATGGAAACTTTTGTTCTCCAACTGAATCCTTGTATTATTGAGTGCAAGCTTATACATAACAAACGCACATCTAGAAAATGGGAGTATGACTAATATTTCTGAGGTTTGCTCAGCACATCTGTCATGCATCTATTTGATCTAAAATCAGTCAGGAGTCTTAATCAAGGTTATAATTTCAATAAGGTTTTTTCTGCATATGACACTTCCCTATTTTTCTATCCCTTGAAATTATTTTCTGAAAAGAATTAGTTAAATAGAATACTCTGTATTGGGTATTGGTTAACACCATGAATAGAAAAAAAAAAAAAGTGCAGCTGTGCTCTCCATTTTGATAAAGGAATTTGGGAATAGATATGAAGATATCTGGAAAAAAAACCTGACTTTTTTATATATTTGCAACTCCATTTTCAGTTGTCATCAATGTATGACCTGTGAATATTCGAATAGAATTTACAGAATTACAGTCAGACATTCAATGCAAAGAAAAATCTGATCATGGCTCTTTACCAGACTTCTAGAAGACCTATCCTATCAGAGGGAAATAGCCTTGTTTCATAATTACGCCTTATTTGCATCATTGCTTCTTGGCACTACACACACGTGTGATCAACTGAAGAACAGGAAGAGTAAAATTAAATCAAAAATCTGACCAGTACCTAGAGAACTCACTGAGTTGCAACCATTTCCATTGAACCAAACTGATGTGTTGGGTAACGTGCTTTAATGGGCTTGAGCCAGAGTGCTGACCTCTAAGATCACCTCCAACCTTAACTATCCTGTGAAGACAACAAAGGCAGGTCAGTTTTTAGCTAGGCACATACAGACATTAAATAACTAATGTCAAGGAATTTAACCAGTAACATTTGAACACTGTGTAGAACCTAAACATGGTAATACCGGGGACATAAATTTTGAGTCATGATATATTGAAATTTAATCTAGGAAAGCTTGTGGGACTATTAAATTAAATTAACTTTTTAAATTTGACAGAATGATCTCATAAAGGAAGACAAATAATTTTAAAACTATACTTAATATGCAATCTATTTAAAGAGAATTTGCATCACAAAAGAGAATAGGACATTAAGGTTTTTAAAATGGTAAGTACTTGGTGTATAAAAATAAGTATTTGATGTATAAAAATAAGAAACCCTACAAATCTTAAGATGCTAAGGAGAAACTTGGCAAGGACGATCGGCAGTAGCAAGGATTTGAAATACTCAAAAAATATTAACTGCCTTTAAAGAGTATCAGAGGTCATTGCCACAAAGCTTTAGAAAGACCAATTTTTGTTATTATGCTAAAAATAAGATGCTTAGCTTGTAATTTTAGTCCTGTTTCCTTTCCTACTTGGTATTGAGGATTCTTTAACTACTCTGGATACCATGCTAATTCCTCTCAATTAGTTGATAAATGTTCATAATTGACAAATACATTTTTTCATCGAGGATTTCTCTCTTCAAGTTAACAACATAGCTAAGGAAGGAGGAGATTAAGAACAAGACTTGTTTCCTAATGGGGCTTTATCATGTTTCCAATGTCTGTGAGACCACTGTGTGGAGAATTTTTCATTCCTCTTAAGAAAAATTTTCTGAAACAATGTGGGGAGAGGACAGTTAATCTTAACTATATATTTGCTCTCTTTGTTCCCTTATTGTCTCCATCTTTACTCTTCTAAAGTAAATGCAGTATTGTGCAGTGGACAGTATGTTCAAGCTGTTCTCAGATGTTTAGCATGAATTTTATGAATTTACAAGGTAAAACTGAATTGACTTTTACAGCTCTGATGATTAGAAAAAGTAGAGGCACAAAATGGAGAAATAAGATTTAACATTGACTTTTAAGATACATTAGCCAAGTGGAAAGACCAACAATATGAAATGGCCAGTGTCCTGTGTGGTAACCGTATGTTAGTTAGTGAAGGGGACCCACATAAAAATGTCTTCTCATAGCTATCTTGCAACAGAGAACTGGAAAAAAGAGCTTAGCAAAGGATTAGCTTATTCACATGTTCTTGACAGAGAGTAAGATATTGTCTCAAATGGGTGATTTTTAGCATATTTTTGGTTATCCTTCTAAGCATTTAGTGGGTACTGATGAAGCTGATTTTCAGTCTGTTTTCTTCATGTGATTAACACCAATACATTATGTTTCTAGCACTTCCCTTCTTAAAAGTATTCTTCTGTCACCAAGTATTCAAGAACCTGGTCTACTTGAGTGCAGTGTTGAGGGCCACTTAATTATCAATTCATGAGGAGTAGTATCAGTTGTATAATTATGCTGAGAAGAACAATACCTACTTGGTAAGTTTAGACTGATAAGCAAGTTGAATGTTGTTTCCTATAGATCTTGCACAGGGTATTAAATTTCTGTGACCCAAAATAAAAACAGGATGAAAATAAATGTGAATAAATGTTCTTGTTTAAGTTACAGTGGCCTTAGTAAAAGAAATTGTCGTTAATTTGGGTCCTATATTTCTATTTCTACTGTTGTAGTATCCTATTTTCATCGGAGTTTGCATGAATTATACGCATGCTCTGTTTTTTTTTATCCTTTATTTTTTGTGGTTACATTGTTGCAAAATATGTTTAAGCTTTTCATGGACAATATTCAGGTTTCCATGTGTTTGTTAGCTGTACTGTCTTTACTGGACTATGATAACTGAAGCTTCCCAGAAAGATTCTTGGTCTTTGTTCCAGTAATCACACTGGAGATTGTATAAGCATTCAAATAATCTTCTAATTAATAACTCTAGCTCTTGACCTATGACTTCCTACTTAGGGTGCATTGGCATCATTCTGAAGCTTTTTTTAGTAGAAGCAGCTTGTCCAAAAATCACCAGATGAATTAATAGAAAAATTCAGGAAGAAGTGTGGCACTAATCTACTTCAAATTACTGCTCATCATCTGCTTTCACTGTAAGCTTGGTCAAGAGGCCCTAGCTGTCCCTGCCTTTCTTGTTAAGGTAGTTTAGAGGGAGGGAATACAGAATAAAGTGTATGAGAGCTCAATACGATCAGTAGATTACTTGCTGTAATTCCTTTTATCTGTGAAGAAATATATGAAAAGGCTACAGGGGAAAAAAAAAAAAAAAGGTGCAGTGTATGTGCTAGAAAAGGCTTTGTCTGAGAAAGGGCAAATGTCTGAGAATGAGTAAGTCTTTTCAGCTGTGATTGCAGCTGTCTTAAGTTTCAAGGTAGGCAGTTCCAAAAGCTTAGGAAAATAGATAAGCTTTAATAAGGCTCTAATGAGCTAATAGACCCTGAAATGGCCTAGAAGAAGAAAATGAACAGTAACAGTATCCATAAAGTTCCAACGTTTTTCTTAGTTTCAAATGTTGGAATTTATTTTTTGTGACAAATCTGTAGTGTGTTATATACATTCCATGTTATTCTACGTCACTAGTACTTAAGGTCGTAACTGGAAAACTGTATTCTACATTTATGAGACTAATATGCATTTGAAGATAAAATAAGTAGTGGTCCATGTGAAAAGTGAAGAGAATCATTCTTGCAAAGGGAAAAACTGCCTTACATTGAAAAATGTGTCTTATTTTGAAAATAAAGACAAAATATATTGTAATGTTCTGGGATGTTTGTAACAATATTATGTTTACTACTGAAAGATAAAAGAATTTTGGTAAACTACTCATTCATTACTAGCTGTATAACAATATGGTGTGAAATGATGTGTAATCTGGAAAATGAGCCCAAGTAGGTATACATGAAAACTATTTAAGAAACGAGTAGTGGTGTCTTAACTCAGTCTTTCTTGTAGCACAGCAATGAACGATTAAGTGAAAAGCCTAATGAGCTTCATCATCTGTTTTATTCTGTGGAAAAGACTGCTAAAAGCATAAAACATTGACTAGACTAGCAACGTTTTTAGCCTTAGTGTTATAGAACACAGTTAACAGAGCAATGTAAAGAAAGATGTAAAGGGACATGAGAAGAAATACCAAAATTCTTCTTTTTAGGCCGTGATGAAGATATGAAAATAAGCAGCTGAAGAAACCAGAAAAAGTAACTAACTTCCTCTAAGAAGCCACATC